ATGTTATGTCTGTACCGTTGTCGTATTCAGCTGTTGCATTCATCTCACCAGTGGCGTTTTGCATTTCCATGGGTGCTCTTGTTGGTCTGGATGGCACTGCACTACTCCAAGCACTTCTGGTCGATGTTATGTCTGTACCGTTTTCGAATTCAGCTGTTGCATTCATCTCAGCAGTTGTTGTTTCAAAGGATGCACCTGTTAGGCCGGATGACGCTGCATTAGTCCAAGCGCTTCTGGTAGATGTTATATCAGTACCGTTCGCGTATTCAGCTGTTATATTCATCTCAGCATTTGACCACGCAGAAGACGTTGGAATTACAGAGATCAGGAGAAAATAGGATGTAAGTAAGTAAAATAACGTCATAATATTTGTGTGGAGTATCATGTGAATGGAAAGAAAAAATTTAGAGCAATGGTTTTAAATCATAAAATACGATTGTTTTTTCAATTAAATGAGGATTGAATGTAAAGCTTTATTTTTTTCCTGACGTATCGAGTAGGCGAAAAATAATAGAGAGATTATATTGAATATTGTTTTTGTCATGACGGTTGGTGCTGATGATAAATGAAACTGAGGAAAGGAAAGCTTTTAATGAAACGTAACAAACACAGTTAACCGTTTCTGGGCGCGTTGTTGTTCGTTTCAAAACAATATGAGTTAACTTGTATAAGTGATATAGTAGAACGCAAGAGAGGATATGCACACACCTTTTTGATATCTGGCTCGCTTTTGAAGTATGAAATTTATAAATAAATTTAAATGTAGTAATATTTATGTTGCCATTTATAGCAAAGTAACATTGTTTCAACTTCATACAGCATTTATTTAAGTGTATTTTTAGAAACGCATGTTTTAACTACGAATAATAATTTTTTTCTCGATTGAAATGAGAGAAGTTTTGTGTTTCCCTCTACAATGCAACTAGATTGTAGTATCATACACTGATAAATGACAAATCGATGTGCTTTATATTTCAATATAAAAGGATTAGAACGCGTGGCTATCGTTTAATGTAATTACTTCTGTAGAGAAGAAACATTATGTGACTATAAACTATTTGATGCACTAGTACTACTTAAGTTTAAAAAAAAATAACTTTTTTGTATCATTTCAATGTAAGTCAAATAAAAACAAATTAACAGTATTGCTATACTATATATTAGATAAAATACAGATTTTTAGGTATAAAAAAGTGTAGAAAATGGAATGATTTTACATTCACCAATACTGACGCACTTTCTTCTTCTTTGAAAACTATATATCAGTATTATTAACTATAGAAAGATGCTAATTGTTATAATATGAAATGAATGATTTTTAATAGGTACACAGGAATAAAATTATCAATTACCAAATTAAAGTTTGAAAATATACCATTGCACAAGAAATCAACAACTATGTTTGTTAAATATTTTCACATCCTATGTATTCCATAGATGAGTATTATTTATTGTTCTCTATTTTTAGAGGCAATTCAAAAGTTATTAAAGTACGTTTTAACATAGCTTTGTTGTACAGTTGCGTATGAAAATTGAAACGAAATGTTTAATGATTATCTATTGCCATTTTAGAAGTATCCTCTTGTGAAAGATTATAGATTGTATGACAAGAGTTTAAATGTACAGCACTCTTGAAGAGTTACATCATCATCATCATCATACTACTGATATAAATATGGTATTCAAGATAATATATATTTGGATATTGATCCAAATCTGTGAGCATACGGAGAATAATGTATTTTTAATTTGATTGTATGTGAAGATTATTTAAATGGTTTTAATTAAATAAATACTATAATTTAGGATTTGTTTGTTGAATCATTACTTTCGAAAAGATTTCTCCTTCTTTTATATGGCTACTATCTCTGGAATTACTGAGGATTTTTGAACTTTAACAAACATGTCTCCATCGCTATCATCGTTATGAAATAAAAAATATGTAAATTACGTAGGAACTATTAAAAAGATATTGAATGAAAACAAACAAACACGCACAATAAGTATTTGTTTCAATCTTCATAATCAGTAAGGATTGGGGTGAATATGCTTGTGGATGCTACAATTGTCTTTTATTCACATTCACACCATGCGCCATCTTTTGATAGAAGAATTGTTTCAGCCAATGGAGTAACGCAATTAAATTTCAAAAATAATAGTAGGACTATTTATTCTACGTCATCAGTTCTATATCCTATGATAAATTAGTTAAGCATATATCTATTCATAGTTGTTTCTTCAGGTTTGACAATTTCACACATCTTATAGAGGTTAACAGTATTCTGCTAATGGTCATGAATGAGTCACTCATAATATATTTCAGTTTCTCTTTTGAAATTTCACGTATAGCTGTTATTATATATTTTATTTGGTAGTTGAACGAATACTGAACATTGTAATATTCAAAGAAATTACTCGTCTCATACAAACACGTACAATATACTATGGCACTTAATATTGATGACTCACAGTTAAACATTGACAGTATAATTGAGCGACTTCTTCAAAGTCTGTTCATTTTCATTTGTTTTGAAACAAAATTTGTATCTGAACTTCTCTGTTTATTGAAGTGCGTGATGTTAAAGTGCTGTCCGAAGAGGAAATCAAACTCTTATGTGAAAAATCAAAAGAAATCTTCCTCAGTCAACCAATGCTTCTTGAACTTAAAGCGCCTATCAATATTTGCGGTAATGTTATTTGTCATAATTGCATTCTTATACTTTTTTACATTTATTTTCTGTACACATTTATATAAAAATAGAAAATATTAGTTTCAGCAAGAAATTTCTACTGAAATAATAGGCAGAGATTATCCCTTATTATAAAAATATCTATAAAAACTTCCGAGAATAGCGGAATTATTTTGAATGAATTTCCTTTGATAGGTAATATTTGTGGTCAATATACAGATCTACTTCGTCATTTCGAACATGGCGGCGTTCCACCCGAATCAAACTATCTGTTCCTCGGGGGTTATGTCAATCGTGGTAAACAATCTTTAGAAACAATATGTCTTCTTCTTGCCTACAAAGTTGGCCGATTTTCTATACACTTTCAATCGAAAATATATTTATATTACATTCACTAGATAAAATATCCGGATAACATTTTCTTACTACGAGGAAGTCATGAATGCGCGTCAATTAATCGTATCTATGGTTTCTATGACGAATGTATGTATAATCGTATTAAAATGAATGATGTTGAGATAAAAATTTCATTGATCGCGCACTTGTTTCTCATTCCTATTTTTTAGGCAAGCGTCGATACAATATCAAGCTATGGAAATTATTCACCAATGTAAGAATAGTAATTTTTCTTTTTTTTTCTTGGAAGCTTTTGTGTATTATTTATTCAAGTGTTTCAATTGTCTTCCGGCAGCTGCTATTATCAATGAGAAAATCTTTTGCTGTCACGGAGGTAAAACTTGATTTTTTTACAATTGATATTTGATCGTTTTTTTTGTTTGAAGGTCTGTCACCTGAGCTTCATAGTTTGGACCAAATTCGACAGATCCAGCGACCAACTGATATACCCGATTGTGGTGAGAAACATTTATAATATTCTGGAGAAAATATTGAAAACTTTCTATTTTGAGCAAAGAGATCACTCATTGTATTTCATTTTATTCTGTTTTCGATTCTTAGAACCCATTGAATCTATGTATTCATAAAAGAAATATATAAACTATTATCGACTTTCTTTAATTTACATTGCTTAGGTCTTCTTTGTGATCTACTATGGTCTGATCCAAGTACTAACGTGGAAAACTGGCAAGAAAATTATGGTGTTTCATCTGAATTTGGTGCTAATGTAGTGACAGGAGTAAGTTTTTGGATAGATCTTTGTTCCAATTTTTATTGATAAATACAATGGTTCTAGTTTTTAAATCGATTCAATATGGATTTAATCTGTCGATCACATCAAGTGAGAATTCTTATAAATTCTTTAAATATCTTATTCGTTTTTGAAAGGTTGTCGAAGATGGTTACGAATTTTTTGCTAATCATCAATTGGTTACTATCTTTTCAGCGCCAGATTATATCGGTGAATTCGATAATGCAGGAGCAATTATGTCGATCGATCAAAATCTGACATATTCATTTAAGGTACGATATATATTTCATAATAATTACTTATGTCATCTTCTAGATTCTTCATTCGCGTACTAAACAAATAAATAACCAAAACAATAATATGAACAATTTTTCTTTAACTCAAATGGATATTAGCCAGGAAAATGTACACCAGACTAATATTGGTAATGGCGAAGCATTGAAAGACTCTAATGTATATACACTTAATAAAGAAGTTTGAGTAACTTGCTAAAATGAAGATATTGTATTATGTGAAATTCACTTTCCATGTATGTCTGAATTTATTTAAAATAATTCTTAAAAATCGAATGAAACTAATACCGCAGGATGTGGGTAATAATGAAGAAGGATATTCATTCACATCGTCAGGTTATATCTTCTCTAAGTATTTGAGCCAGATTGAATGATTCTTAGCATGGATACATTTTAGAGTGGAGAAGTTCTTTAACCCATCTAATGAATTTCTTACAGGAAGCAAAACCAAGATTTGTAACATTTGATTTTCACTGAATGTTTTGTATTTTTATTCATTTGTATCGTGTTCTGTATGTATGTGAAAGAAAATCTAATCAAACTAAAAGCATATCAACACGTGCTGAGGCTTTTTTTTCGTTCTTTGTTTATTTGAAGAAGCCATGCACACATAAAATAACATCAATATTTATACTGAGTAATGTTGTCTTTGAAGGAGAACTAAAACCCTATAAAAAAAAGATGTAATACCACTACTTTCGTCTTTTTGTTTTTATTGCTGAGAACGAAGGTTAAGCCTTTTAGTTACGAACTCCACTTTTATACTATACATAGGATTTGATGAGCTGTCTCTGATGTTATGTGAATGAACTTTGCAGAATATCCTAAATACTGACTATATGTCTCAAGTTAATATAGTATCATTATGTAAGAATAATTTCATTCTGATAAAATAATAAAAAGGAATACATAGAAAAGAAAAAATAAATTATTGCAAGCAGTAGTTGATTCTACTAACCATAAGATACAATAGTCTGAAATTATTTTTTCAGAAATATGCAATATCATTCTCACACTTGAACAATAATCATTGGTACATTCAATATAAATGAAATATGTTTGTGTTATTTTCAAATACAAATATTTATCAAGCATTAAAATTTATGGAGAAAGTAAAGTATTATCACTGTGTTGACATTTGCGTCAATGTTATCAACAAATGTGCCTGTCGTTTTTCTTTTCTCTTTTTGTCAAACAAAGAAGAACATGATAAAGATACATGCTAAAGTCATATATATTCTTCAGTTACTGCTTTTATAACTTTCATTCGTGTCGCATTGATAGTGACGAGTAACAAAACATTTTATTAAATTATCCGTGGTACATATATATAAGATTATATTGATAACGTTGTGCAATATATGGCATCCTTTACATTGAGTGCTGTCGATTACGTCATTCTTGTAATACTTCTTCTCTCATCAGCTGTCATTGGTGTTATATTCGGATTTTATAAATCAAAGAAGAGTTCAGCTGTAGAGTTTCTTTTAGGTATGATTCAACCATTCTCTTGATATAATATCTATAATTATCTCCCTTTCATTTACAGCCGATGGAGGCATGCAAGTAAGTTGGAACAGATGGTCAAAAAAACTACTCTTTCTACGATTCTGTGTAGGTATTACCAACAGCACTCAGCATAACAGTATCATTTATTTCCGCTGTTACATTGCTGGGCGGACCGAGTGAAATCTATTTGTTCGGTACTATGTTTTGCTATCAAGGTAAAAGAGAATATATTAACTTTAATTTATTATAATTGCACTGATATATCCTTAGCTATTTCGGCAGTCATTGCTTCAATTGTGACTGCACTTGTATTTATGCCTAAATTTCGTGAAATGAATTTCACAAGTACCTACGAAGTATTTTTGTTTGCGAATTTATTTTGAAATGTAATCTAAAATGCATCGTAGTATTTAGAACAACGTTTCGATCGATCAGTACGCATGTCTGTTTCATTTACTTTCTCGTTCATTATGGTAAGACTATGCATATATTTATATTCAATTCAATTATTTCTATTATGCATAGTTAATCTATATGGCTATTGTATTGTATGCACCTGCATTAGCATTAAGTCAAAGTAAAAACTTCTTCAATATACAAGAATATTGAATAAAAACAATTGATTTGATTTAGCTACTGGTTTGAATATTTGGTTGTGTGTAGTTTCGATCGGTGTTATTTGCACATTTTATTCCTCTGTGGTAATTTTTGAATAAATAAAAGATTGTGTACGTTCTGTCATTTAGGGTGGTATAAAAGCTGTCATTTGGACTGATGTTCTACAATCAGTAGTGATTATAATTGGACTTCTTGCCGCTATTATTCAAGGTTTGATTACTGTCGGTGGTTTCAAACGAGCATTCTCAATTGCATCCAACGGTGGCAGAATTGTATTTGATGAGTATGTTAGTTAGATTTTGTACAAACTTGATATGATGATATCTTTCTCTGATTCTAGTATTAGCTTTGATCCTCGTACTCGGCACACAGTTTGGTCAATGCTTATAGGGGGTTCATTAAATTATTTAGGTACATATGGATTTAATCAAACTTTAGTACAACGTTATTTATGTGTACGTTCTACACGAGGTGCTAAACAGGCATTAATTATCAATGCAATTGGTACGGCATTAGTTATTCTCTGTTCTGGTCTAATTGGAGTAATAATCTATGCATATTATGTTGATTGTGACCCTTACACAGCCAATAAAATAGAAAGTATCGATCAAATTTTTCCATATTTTGTCATGGAAGTTCTGGGTGATAAAAAAGGTTTGCCAGGTGTATTTCTTACTTGTATATTTTCTGGTTCTTTGTCAACAATTTCATCGGGATTGAATAGTCTAGCAGCAGTATTGATCGAAGATGTTTACAAAGGATTGATGGGTCGACAATTGACTGATCAAAGACAAGGTCTTATCTCAAAAATATTTTCAGTCATACTTGGTTCTTTTGTTATCTTACTTACCTATGTAGTCAGTTATCTTGGACCAATTGTTAATGCAACTCTATCTCTATTTGGTGTTCTGGAAGGTCCTATCATGGGTGTTTTTTTTCTTGGCTTCTTCTTTCCACAAGCTAATCGACGAGGTGGACTTATCGGATTTTTCGCTAGCCTCATCTTATTACTATGGATCTTTTTGGGTGCTCAAATTACAAAAAATCAAATGGTAGATGTAAGTCTACCATTGTCGATAGCCAATTGTACTTCGAATACTAACGATACAATGGGTGAATTTGTATTAAACTGGACAACTACGCTCACAACTTCCACTCCTATAAAGTAAGATTAGTTAGAAGGCAGTTTCTTTGAGAATTCGTTTTCTAAATAAAAAATGTATTTTTTTAAAATCTAGACTTGATCCTCTCATTGGATTGTATTCGGTGAGCTATTTGTGGTATACACCAATAGCTGTTGGAACTGTCATACTTGTGGGTATGATTGTTTCCTATATTACTCATCCACTTAAACCACATGAGATCGATCCGAAATTGATTATACCAGTGAGTGATATGTTCTGTTGTTGCTTACCAAAATCATGGCGTGAATGGTTACGATGTGGAGTCAATTACGAAAATTATTTCAAAGAGAAAGTATATAAGTTTGCACATTTCCATTGAGAGATATAAAATCTACTTTTTTTTTAATAGAAAGATAAGAATGAACTGGAAATGACAACATCTATCCAGTCTAACAGTATTGATACCAATTTAACAGTACCAACACGTGATGTAAGCTCGAAAATACTAAGACGATCGAATATGGTTTCTCCAGCAATGTCTAGCGTAATGGATAGAATCAATGACGATCCTTCTACAAACATTACAACATAACTGTATTGTATTACATAAGACAAGCTACCTTTGAGAATGTGTAATATAAACCGATTTAAATCAGTTATCATCTCAGCTGAAACATTATGACTGTCAGTAATTTTTTTTATCGAAAGTTATTTAGTTAAATATCATATTCAAAGTCTCTATCTACTTCATAAAAATATCATTAATAGTCATTGCAATGATAGAGTTGTATATTAAAAATCTCTCAATTGCCTTTGATAAAGTTTGCAAATTTGTGATTTATAAAAACAGTGAAAAAATATACGTAACTAATCATTGATATTTTTGGATTGGATTCATTTTAACAGATAACGTCCATTGATGGTAGAACGAAAAAGTAAGTATTCAGTCGAATGATTTTTCTTCTACAGTTTGATGTCGGTAATGATTACTTTCAATAATTCAAAGTAATTATCAGTTGATTTAGATAAATCTATCAATTTGTTGTGTCTTGATAGGAATTAATATTGTACATTATCACCTATAAAAGAAGGATTTACATTACTCTATTTGTTATGAACAAAAACCATTGGAAGGTAAATTAACAAGGATAGTAAATATGCATCACTTACCAACGAAAGAATCACTTAAATATATATATATATCATTCAACATGAATATTTTATTTGAAATAGTTTCTATACCATTTTTCTCTTATGAATAATTAGAAAAATTGTAAATCATATGATGAAATGATATGAGTCATACTGAAAATTTCCCCGATTGTGAAATAACACGTAATACATATGTAAAATGGTAATTTTTTTTTCCAACGTTATGCTTGATTGATAATAACGTGGCAATTCGACGTCTTTATATTGACGAGATTTTATTGAGACAAAACACAAGTAAAATATTCAATACTACGCATACTCCAATTATCCTTGATATTTATCATCTACGATTCAATAATGAATGCTCCTACTGGAATGGGCCGTTCCACTGCCATTCATTGGCATGATGTAGCTGCACGAATGGAACAAGTGGTGGGTAATAATAATGGGCACCAACTTCATAATGCTTATGGTTATGCTCGTCAACATCAGCCAACTCATGCAGTAGCTTATGCATCACATATGCCTAACAATGATCATGTGAATAGACAAGATACGCGCGGATTTTTTGAATTGTTTTGGGATAATTTATTTCATAAGCACTAAAGAAACTGAAAAGAATATCCTGGAATACCTTTATATATGATAAATTCAACAATATAACATCATTTCAAGAAATATCTTATATTGATCTTTTTTTGATGAAAATGAAATTTTATAGATATTTGTTTTGTTTATTTTATTTATAGAATAAAAATTTGTGTTATATAAAACAGTGATTTATCTTTTTGCGTTACATAATTATACATTTTAATTAAGATATCGACTAAATTGCATAGTTCGAGATGACTAGTTCTTTAATATTTTGTCTAGAATAACATCGATGTCTATTAACAGGCTAAAAGTAAAAGTCTTTTATTAACTATTTCAGTTAATGTTTTTTACCTTTAATATACTTTAATAATTATGTTTGGCGAAGCAAAAACAAATATGAGTAACACTGCTTATATTTGTGATATTGTGATTGGAATTTTCCATGTACTCATATTTACTTCCCTTTTCTCTTCTATAATATATTACCTTTTCGCACTACAGTATATTCCAATACAAAGATGAGAAACTCCAACTCGGAGTTGGAATGGATTTCAAAAAAATGGGTGTGGGTGATTCAATCAGTATCCATATCCATACTCTCAAGTACAATTTTCGTTTCGACCGGACAAACCAACAATACTATTTTGATGAGCTAGAGAAAGATCAATAAGAAAAATACGAGTGAAGTCGTAGACATAATTCGAGGGAGCAACTGCGATAATCCTTAGTTTTGCTCAAAAACTCACTGTTAATGAGGATTCTTTTCCAACCATCAAAAATATCCCTCACATTCTCAGGTATACCCTGTTTATCGACTTCGCTATCGTTTTTGGGTTCATTCGTGTTTTCTTTTAGGATTTTTTTCGTATTTTAACGCCTTTTCGAAATAATACTCTAATTTTGTCCGATCAAAGGGTGTGCGTGTGAATGTGAAGATTATCAGTTATCCCCACCCATCCACCGACATTCATTTCAGACTATACAAATCTTTTGCCTTTTCTTTAGATTTTGATATATTGTTACAAGGTCGGTATTTCTTATCAGATGTAAGTGTCTATAAAATTTGTCTAGTAGAATTATTACTAAAGTTAATACATTAAAGTCACGATCGAATCATACAGACGTGATTAATTTTATTATTGGAAATATTCTCTTTTCTTATCGTTTGTTTTCATAATTTCACACAATGAATGTATTAAAATTAACCATCGTAAATAGACTTCTTATAGTTAAATTATCTTTATAGTTTTAGCATAATATTCCAGAACATGAACTAAGATAATTAGTTATATTTCGAGTCAACTGTTAAACTCTTAAGATACTTTATTTCAAATAAAATATTCACCCTCTGATGAAGTAATTACAAAGTTATGTTTCTCCGTAATCTCACCTTTAGTAATATATACCTAAACAAATTTCTTAAAATATCTATGCATATTTATTTATAATAAAATTACAAATAAAATCTACAACTTTGGTTACCAGTGAATATTTTTCAATTATATTCAAACTTACTTTTGTTATTAAGGCACATCATATCATCATTTCTATACTAATGAACCATTACTTCAACTTCTATATATATATCTATCTATATATGATCTCATTTTTAGTTATATCAAAGACATGTATTAATCCCATTATTTATGGTCTTGCTAATAATGATTTTCGAGTAAATTATTTATATTGATTCCATTTTTGTACGAAATCATCAGCAAGATCTTCATGTAAACTTGAAGAATCAATGTCGTGATGTTCGAATAAGTAGAAGTCTAATTATGCCTAAACAAAAACCATCGGAAGATAAAAATACCAACAGAAGAACTACTTAAAAATATATATTGTTCGACATGATTGTTTTATTTTTGAATATTTATTAATAAATGTTGTGAAAATACTAATAATCTTGAGATTTTAATTAATTTGAATGAAAAGTAAGTTTATGTAGCTTTTGTTTTGTTTAAATATAATTCTTTGAAAATTTTCGATCATTATCAACCTTTAACAACATCAAAAAACAGATTTAAATCTCAAGATTATTGCTATTTTCATACATTATTATACAAACAGTAGAATTAAACAACATTTATGTCTATGGTTATGATGTGTATGTCTATATGTCTTTTTTTCTGTTCGTGTTTTTGTAAAATCTTTTTGTATAAAATCTGGTATAAGGTAGTGTTAAAGGTTGATAATGATCGAAAATTTCCCTAAAAATTATATTTAAACAAAAGAAAACCATGTAATCTTACTTTTCATTTAAATCATTATTATTATTGTATTTGAAATTGTGTTTATACCGTTTTTTTCTTATGAATAATTAGAAAAATGGTAAATTACATGATGAAATGTTATCAGTCATGTTAATCACTTCCTCGATTCTGAAATAACACGTAACAAATATGTAAAAAAAGTAATTACTTTTTTCAACGTTATGCTTGATTGATAATGATGTCGCAATTCGACGTCTTTATATTGACGAGATTTTATTGAGGCAAAACATAAGTAAAATATTCAATACTACGTATATTTTATTTATTCTTGGTATTTATCAACAACGATTCAAGAATGAGTGCTCCTACTGGAATGAATGCTAGCACTGGTCTTTATTATAATGATGTACGTGCACAAATGGAACAATATTTAAACAATAATACTGGAAATCAACTTCATTCTGCTCGTGGTTATGCTCATCACCCTCAAGCAACTCATGGAACAGCTTATGCATCACATATGCCTAGCACTGGAACAGCTTATCCAACATATATGCCTAACAGTAGACCTCACTATTCAGGTATAGATCCTGCAATGAGCCAAGATGTCGGTGTATTTGGCCGATCGTTTATGAGAAGTTTACACCGCCATTAACCTAAACAGACTGAAAATAATATCTTGGAATATTTTTATACATGATAAATTCATCAATACAGCATCATTTCAAAAAATATCTTATATTAATCTTTTTTTGATGAAAATGGAATTTTAAAGATGTCTGTTTCCTTTATTTTATTTATAAAATAAAAAGCTGCATTATGTAAAACAATAATTTATCTTTTTGCATTACATAGTGATACATTTTAATTAAGATATTGACTAAATTGCATAGTTCGAAATAACGCGTTTTTTTAGTACTTTTTCTAGAATAAAATCGATGTCTATTGACAGAATAAAAGTAAAAGTCTTTTATTAACTATTTCAATTAATGTTTTTTACCTTTAACATACTTTAATAAATATGTTCGTTGAAGCAAAAACAAATATGAAAAGCACTGCTTATAATTTTCATTGAAATTTTTCATATACTCATATTTTCTTTCCTTTTCTCTTGTATAATATATTACTTTTTCGTCCTGTAGCATATTGCAGTACGCCATTATATACATATATTTGATCGTTCTTGCAGTATGTATCTATCGAGTCACCTTCTCTTATTTTTCTTCGTTGAAATAAACTATTATTTCATCTTGCATTGCGCTTCTTGATCAAACATCAAGACGTGACAATAATCCGCTTTATTATTTATTCAGAAAACGTTAATAAAACAATGAGTGTTTTCCTGAAGAAATACAAAGTACGGCTAAATTTTATATAAAATAGTAATTTATTGATGATAAGTCTTCCTGAGGGTGGATATGGATGATTCAATCGGTATCCACATCCATACTCTCAAGTGCAATTTTCGTTTCGATCGGACAGATCTAGAATACTATTCTGATGAGCTAGAAAATACAAGAAAAAAAATCAAAAAAGAGGTTATTATTGAATGATGATGATGAAGTTAGGTTTCATATCCTTATAGTAGTTGAATACATATCATCATATTAAATTGAAATTAAATTGATGTTGAGTAATATTATCTATTGTTATATAGAAAGAAAGAAAAATTTCGCGCGCAATATATCATGATGTATGCTATATATTGTTCAGGTAATTACTCAACATTAGTTCTATTTTAATGGCAATATGAAAATGAGTTTCGACACGATGAATTCTAACCTTCCTATTACTCGAATAAAACTTCATTGATTTAATAGTAATATAAAATGATCACAATACTAACTTCTTTCAAGCATGTATTTAATATGTCGTTTTTAATCAATAAAACATAATATTTATAAATTTTACATTATTAGAGTAATTGTTGAGGATGGATGAGAGTACAGGTATTCTATTCATCTACTTGCCATAAGTGAAACAAAGCTTTATCTTTGATTTTTATTTGAATTCGAATTAGATATCTCATGTTTTCAAAGTTGAGAAAACTTGACAATTTTTCTGAGAATGAAAAATAGTTTACGTATTAAGCCTGATCAGGAAAACTTCATTTTTAAGACAGAAAAGTCTCGAAAAAGTCAATATGATTCTTCTTTAATCCATCCATGTGTTTCATAACGATCGTCACCGGGAACATTTTCATCAAAAAAATATGATGTAAAAAATCCACAACCATGGCGACCTTCGAGTCTTTTTGTGAAATCAATCCATTCGAAGTCTTTTATATCATCTGCAGTTTCTTCACCGAGACATTGGTAAACAATTGTTCCACAAACTAAATATGTATAAGAAATAATACGAAGAATAAGTATAAAATAGTAATAAAAACGACAAAAATATTCTTTGAAAGAATTATTACATGCGAACTATGACGATATTTCTTTTTTTTCATTCCGGGATATTACCAAAGTGAGTTAGATTTTCAATAATCAACTGCTTACCATCTCCATTATGACGAATTTCAACAAGCCATCTTTTATCAGCGATATTTGGACTTTTACACATTGGACATTGTTTAAAGTCACTTCTCCAAAACTGTTTACGAATTGTTTCACTTTGTTCGCCAATAGAAAATCGAGACTCGTTACTCGTATACATTTGTTTAGAAAATGATTCTTCTTATGATGAATAAGTTGCCTTCTTTTTTGTTCTACTTTTGAAAAATTCAGGTTATTATTTTTGTTTAAAAAAATAAATGTCTTCACGAGCAAAAATACGTATTTTGTGTTTTTCTCCTTATGTAGATCGGTGAATAAGCCACTATTTTCTTCTTTTGCTACTGTGTTATGTTGAAGAAAGACGAAAATAAAATAATTCAAATGAAGCAAAAGACACTCAATAAAAATCATTTTTCGAAGCACGACCAATAGTGTGGAATGAATCATTTTCACTCTCACCTATCAGAATGAAAGAAATGCGGTATGAGTATAGATTTAGGTATTCCATAGCAATCTATCACACATTCACCCTTTTAGGCTAGTTCAGAAGATTGTATTAACTTGCTTGCTTTTAATAATAACTTTAAATGATGAGGGTGGGCGGACGAGCGTGGAAATAAAGAAAAGACAAATCCACACCACATCACCCTTGAATTTGACTGTGATACCTACCCTTATTTTTTGTCATAAAAAATAAAATAAAACTATAGACATGTCAATCGTCAGTATAGTGTGAAGTATTTTATATTCAATGCTCTTTGATTTTATGGCGTATTTAAAAAACGAATAGTAAATGTTACATACACTCATAAAAAAAACAGAAAACTGCAATAGGAGAAGAAAATCGAAAAATTAACATTTTATCATATATACTTGATGAAAATATTCTCAACAACATCAATATATAAACTGTGGTTGCACTGTATAATACTGTTTACTCAAGAAAATAGCTTCTTGTATTTTTCTAAATGTCAAAGATTGAAGTGTTTGTTCGATTCATAGTATAAAATATCAACACAAAACAAGAATACAGCTAGAGATAAACGAAAATGATTTCGAAAGTATTGATTATTTGTACGCTGTTACTTATTCCGCTCATCGTCAAGGCCAACATCGATGATCAATGTCTTGCTTGTATCTGTCAAGTTGAATCAGGCTGTAGACCACTCGGATGTACCTGGGATGTCTACTCAAATTCATGCGGTTACTATCAATTGAAACAAGGCTATTGGCAAGATTGTGGTTCACCAGGTGGTTCACTTGAAGCATGTGCTGCAGACAAAAGTTGTTCGGATAGATGTGTACGTGCTTATTTGCAGCGGTATGGTACTCGATGTACAGGAGGTCGTACACCTTCCTGTCAAGATTATGCTCGTATTCACAACGGAGGACCTAGAGGATGCACATCATCGGGTACGCTTAGCTATGGAAAGCGCGTTAGTTCTTGCTATTCTGGTTGAAAAAATGTTTTTTTTTCTTCTTTTATAACTACAAATAAAACTGACGTGTTCTTAATAAGCTTGAATTATCTTGAGAGTGTGGGTGTGGATTCATCTTTTATCCACCTACCCACACTCACATCCACACCTTCAAGTCTTAGTCAACTCTATTGCTTCTTCTCTGTGAAGCAATCAGTATATCTTTTCTATAAGTTTTTCGACTTTACGTAATGTACCATAAAATATTGTGATCAATTCTTTTCTTCAGATGCCACTCAAAAAATTATTTCAAGAATAGGACTGCAAAGATTTGCAAACATTGATTTTTATCAAAGAAGATATTTCTACATTACTTTCATTTTCATCACATTTTCTTTAAACCTAAGTTGGTTGATTTATACTAAGAGTATGTTTATGCATTTTTTCAGAAAAATAAAAACAATTTTAAATCCTAATAAGAAAACTGTAATTATCATTTCCAAGAATATTGAATTGTCAAGTGAATCAAATATCAAGGAATGAATATCATCGATACTCAATGACATCTATCCAAAAGCTTATTGATAAAAACTTTTTTTTATCAAATGAAAATTCTAAGATAATTTGCATCTTTACTGATATAAAAGACGAAAGATCAATAAAATTGTCATAATTCATCTTTTTGAATAAGATTCATTTTTAATTCAATGTTAATCGATATTAAATTGTTTTTATTATACAGATTCGTCATTAACCAATAAAATACTTTACTTCCTTCGTTTCGATCGAACGATTATTATTAACTTTGACTCATGTTGTGTTGTACAAATAACGATACAAAAGGTAATTATACATTCATTTGTTTTCTACATTATTCAACACATGGCGACAGCCAATAGTACAGTACAATGTTCGGTTTGTAATAAAGAAAATACGACATATCTTTGTCGAGGATGTTCAAAAGATTATTGCTTTCACCATTTAAAAGAACATCGGCAAAACTTACATAAAGAGTTAGATGGAATTATTAGTGATCACCAACAATTTCAACAAAAAATTAACCAACAAAAACAAAATCCACACAATTCTTCTTTAATCAAAGAAATTAATCAATGGGAAACAAATGCAATTGAGAAAATTCTACAAACAGCACAACAATGTCGAGAAACAGTGATAAAATTGACACAAAAGCCGAGCAATGGTATTGAAAAAGAGTTTATTGAATTATTTAAGAAGTTAAAAGAAATTCGTCGAGAAAATGAATTTAATGAAATTGATTTAAAACATTTACAATTAAAATTAACACAAATTACCGAAGAATTTCTTCTTCCGACAAATATTTCCATTCAACAAGGTTCACAAGAATTTATTAACAAAATCTCAGTGATTTCATCATTAGGTATGTCTATTCAATTATTTTATTTCTAGAAAAGAGAAAACTAAGCTTAAATGAGGTATTTTGTCAACTAGAATTGTAATATCTCATTTTCGACCACCCTCAAGATGGAGAATGTCGAAAAACATAGGAATAATAGTTGATAACCATTGAAAAGCTCATCCGTGCACTGACGATTACTCTTCAAAAATTTGAGAAAGTACATAACTCACTGCTCGCTGCAATATATTAAAAAAAAGCAGATAGTTCCTAGATATCACTCCATCATCGAAATCTAGTTTTTTCAGGCATTCATTCTTAAGCTTCTCATACACATTGACTAATCGATTAAGTAGTCAGTCTGCTATCGGACGGATGATTCGAGACAAACAAATGACTTGCAAAAACTTGTTTTTTCTCTTTTCTTTCACTCTAACCAAAGTCATTTTTAGAACCAGTAGTGAAAACAAAACTCAACAATTGGAAACAACACGGAATTATTAGTGGAGGAGGAAATGGACAAGGAAACCAAACAAATCAACTCTTTTGTCCTGAAGGAATCGTTATTGATCATCAGAACAATATTTTCATTGCTGATTTCGGGAATAACCGTATTGTTGAATGGAAATCTCATTCGAATAATGGACAAATCATTGCTGGTGGAAACAGAAATGATCAATTAAGAGGTCCGAGAGATGTAATTGTTGATATAACAACTAATTCTTTGATTATTTCTGATTCGCTAAACAGACGAATAATCCGATGGTCTAGACAAAATCAAATAAAACAACAAATTCTTATTTCTGATATCGTTTGTTTTGGTCTGGCAATAGATAAAAAAAATAGATTTATTTATGTTTCTGACTGGGAGAAACATGAAGTAAGACGATGGAAAGAAGGAGATGAAAGAGGAACAATTGTTGCAGGTGGACATGGAAAAGGTGATCGTTTCAATCAACTCGATCATCCTACTTTTATCTTTGTCGATAAAGATGATTCTCTTTATGTATCAGATTGTGAAAATCATCGTGTAATGAAATGGAAAAAAAATGCCAAAGAAGGAATTGTTGTTGCTGGTGGAAATGGAAAAGGAAGTAGTCTCAAACAATTGTCTCAACCTGCAGGATTGATTGTTGATGATTTAGGTCGAATTTATGTGGTAGATAATGGAAATGATCGAGTGATGTGTTGGTGTGAAGGAGATACAGAAGGTGAAATTGTTGTTGGTGGCCATGGGAAAGGAGAAAAATCGAATCAATTGAATTATCCTACTGGTTTAACATTTGATGATGAAAAGAATTTTTATGTTGTTGATTGGGGGAACGATCGAATATTAAAATATGAGAAATATTCTGATTAAAATATTTTCTTTTTGATCAAATGAATATTATGAAAATAAAAATAAAATAGTTTTATTTTGAGAAGAAATAAATTGTGAAATAAAAAGGTATTAACGCAATCTTTACGTGATTCAAATGTGAAACACGAATAAACTTCTGTTTTCGGTAAGAGAATACATTCCTATTCTTTGATATGATTTTCAGCCTAAAGCTATAACTAGGGGCGTGGGTGTGACAGTATGACAATCAAAATACTCATATCCACATCCTTCTCTTACACAATTCTCTTATATACATAATTCAATATGATGTCGCTAGGTACCATTCTTGATGATACTATAGTTCTATTATATTTATTTTATGACTAGTTTATATGTTCTTCCTTCGGGAGCCTCTTATGTTATTTATGTTACTTTTTTTCCTTTTTATGTTACTCATGGAAGCGTCCGGTTCGTTTCTTTTTCTTTCTATTCATTGTCAATCTCGTCTAACAAAGAGAATAAAAAAAAAGTGTTAAAAAAAATGTCGACTTTTGCTATATATCTTTTTACCTGCATGCATGCGCGTACTGTAAGCAAGCGAAGATGTATTGAAAAAAAACCATATAAGCATATGAGTTCTTTTGCATTCTTTGATTGCTTTTGTTGGACAGAAAAGGAAAAAAAGACGCAAGACAAATATTTAACTAAGTGAATGTGAAAACGTCTGTGT